AGTTTTTAAAAACCAAACCAAAACTTTCTCTTCAAGTTTAATTGAAATGAAAACTTTGGAGTCAAATCAAAACAAACTTTCATTTCATTTAGACATTCCCACAAAAGTTTAAAAATTTCAAATAAATTGTTGTTCACAACTTTTAAAGAAACTGGTTTTTCAACTAGCTCGACTTAGGCCTGTTGAATTGCCAAGAACCAGGAGACCCAAGAGCGCTAACCAGAATTTAGAGAACAAGGAGATCTGAAGGGGCTGGACCTTACAGTTGGATATTATGATATTAATCCAGCTAAATCTAAAATTCAATGCACTGACATACTGTAGGCCGATTCAAAGACCTGCATGGCAGTGTTATGATCAGATGGATTTGTAATAAATACATTTTGGATCCACTAGTTAGCACAGAACCATTTGCCGAAAGAACAGCAAGTGGAGTATTGCAAGGGCTGAGTCTGAATGGATAAGGATCATAGCACTGATCAAGATTCAGAGGCACCTGACCTTGGTCTAATTCCTAAAATGACCAAACAATCTGAGCAGTAGCAGTGATATGACACCTGATTCAAAGCCAACTGCAGTCAAGGGAGTCTTTCCACTGCCTTCAGTGGGCTTTGGCTCAAATCCATGATGAGGAAATGGAAGTCACAGCTTAACAATCATTTAACATCTTGAACCGGAAATCTCCTGTTTCTGATTCTGGGCCAAACTCAGCCGTGCCCAATGCAACTCCACTGAATGCAGGGCAGAACTAGCCCCTTGGCCTTTGCAGGATTTCCTTCCATCCGATACTGAGAGTTCATGTCTGATGTCTTGTGGGAAGTATGCAGCGCTGCATGTTGCAAATCAAACCAAATCAGCTGTTGTGTTAAAGATGCAATAAAGCTGTGATTCTCAAAGACAGCATAGGGACTGGGAAATCTAAGCCCAAATGTACTGATAGAGTGCTCTTCATCTACGGTAGCAGAAACTGTTTTGCAGACAGAGTCTAAATCAGGAGCTAAAGAGAAGTGGTTAGCAGGTGACTTAAAGAGTGACCCAACAACTCAAAGGAAAGGAGCTCCAGATAGAGAGGCAACAAAATGAAAGGGTGAGAAGAGAGCAGAGGGGAGGGGATGGTGAGGAAGCCAAGACAGGAGAAGCAGAATGGGTAAGAAGCATGTTGGGAATGGTCTGAGAGATCACAATCTCCAGCACATAGGCTCTCAGAGTGGGTGTCGCTACAGAGGCCACATTAAGGGACAGATACTCAGCTGGTGTAAATCAGCACAAATCTATTGATGTCATTGAAGCTATGCTGGTTTTCACCAGCTGAGGATTTGGCCTTCATTCTCTGCAGTGAGTAAACACTGTTCCACTAGAGTTGCCATCAAGATCCAATGCATCTCTGATAGCTGTAATAAGCATGCAGTAGCTGAAATACTTTATACTGGTCCTATTGGCAGGGCACTAACACACTTATCGCACTATTTTTAACATGTCGTCGATTGGAACATTTGCTCTTTAAAGCCCAATCCTGCCAGCCTTGCTCACACAAATAATTCCATTGACTTCCATGGGACCACTCATGCGAAGAGGATGAGCTTTTTCAATGGAAAGACTCCAATTGACTTCAGTGGGCTTTGCATCAGTCCGCATACTCCTAAGCAATAAGCAAATCTGCATTGCACTTGGGGTTGTCAGGTCAACCTCTCTGGAAAATGCACAACACTGAAGGGCAATGGCTCAAGCAATATCTTGGTTACATACTTGCAATGGTGCAGCTAATTCGCCCACGTCCAGCCCCGATGCAGGTACAATCCCAGATCATGGAGTCTTTGGGGCGCTCATAAGTCTCCCCTACCCGATAGGTAGATCCAGTGTATTTGTCAAAGCAAGTTTCTTCAGCTGAGGGGAAAATAAAGTCCATGTGATGATGAATTAAGGTGCCGGCTGTAGAATTCAAATTGCAAGAACACAAACCACATACACTCCTATTCCCCTCCCTCCCTCACCACTGTTTTTCCTTGTGCAGGAAAATTCAGTTGTGTCTAGTTTTCTCTGAAGAGTAACAGTCACATATTAGTGTGGCAGCATGAAAGTCGGCAGAGTGGAATTCATGCAAGCACTGAGGGCTCACACAAGGCCCCCTACCCAACTGCAAACCAGCTGATTTGTGCTGCGCCAGCAACAAAAGACAGCCATAAACCACCTCATCAGTTAAGATAGGTTTATGGCTGCTTTGCATCACCAGAGCAGCCCAACACAGCCAGAGCAAACCAGTGAATACAGCCCAGTAAATAAAGTTCAGTTTGATTATCCAAATGTCCCTGTTACCCCAAACAGGGTCACATCCCCCAACATCTGTTACATTTAAAAATCCCCCTGTTATCCAAAACCTCAATTTTATCCAAATGTATTCCGTGTCTCCCTATGACACGTAGATAGTTGAGATCAAAAGAATCATAAATCGGAATAAGAATAATTACTCCAACCTTACACCCAACTATGGGACATTCATATGCAAATTAGAAGGACTGTGAAACAAGTTGCAAATGAAAGTCAACTTTTAAAATGTTTTTTAAAACGGTTTGACAACATTAGGCTATGAAATGCATATTAACAGTTACAGACCATACAATCAGATAAAAAGTTTAGAGAAGTCAGAGCTGAAAAGTTGGGCTCCAGATCTGTTGTGTACTCTGCAATTGTTAGGGATTTCAAATCTAGGGCCAGGGCAGATCATTATAGAGATGAGGCACTGCAAAGTTCAGATTCAGATCCAAACTTCAGGTTGAGTGTTACCTGGCCCCAGGGTTCCGATTGCAGGCCCATGTCTAATGAAGACTACCTCTTAAAATCTCAGGCCAGATCCTCAGCGTAAATGAGCGTAAATCCATTATTGACTCTCACGCCCATTAACATGAGCTGAGAATCTGATCTGTGGTCTATACTTTTTTTTAATGCTTATTTTAATTGGCCTCACAACCCGTTTTTCATTCATCATGACTCCCACCAACTTACGTTCAGGCTTGCTTTCGCAGTTAAAGCCTCTGCTTCCCCCATAGCAGGTACAGATGAGCATGTTTCCCAGGTATATGCGTTCCCATTGTTGGCTTATCTGATAATATCTCCCATTATCATAACAGCCCTCTGAAAAAGAAAGAGAAGTCTTGGGTTACATTAGCCTCCTTCAACCACAGAGCTCCAAACAAAAGTCAAAAAGGAGAGTTAAATCATGTGTGGACTATACATTAGGTCCTGATCCTGCATTCTTTGCACATGCAAAACTCCCACTGAGACAATGGGAGTTTGGGACACACAGAGAAAGCAAGATCAGGCACCTGAATGTCAATCCACACCACATTAGATACTGCAGTACATGCACAGGAGTTTAGAGAGACTTTGAAACAAAGAGTTATCAGACTCAGAATCTCATCTGGGGCCTGATCCAAAGTTCCATTCAATTCAATGGAAAGACTGCCACTGACTTCAGTGGGCTTTGGATATGTTCCAGCCACTGTAGGATTGTTTCCCAGGTTTACATTTACAAGTGTTTTGTCCAGGTCAGTTCCAAGTGTGCCAAGCAGCAGGGCTTCCGCCACATCCCTTGAGAGATCATTTCACAGCCTGATAGATCTCAGTGCCAGGAAGTTTTTCCCTGATGCAGCCTCAAGTTCCCCAGATGCTTTCAAAGGTGACAACTGCAATTGTTCCAGCAAACATCTCCCAAATTGTGTTTGCAGAAAGAGTGTTTTAGTGTTTTGCTTTAAGGTTATTTGTAATTACATGTAATAATAAAACTATTGTTTTCTTAACTAAGGGCTCTAATGAAAACCATATACCCAGAACTGAAACATGAAAATAGCAGCTGTTTAGTTCAAATAAAAGTTTGGCATCTACATTTCATCCACTAAACCAGATCCCATTACACTATACTTCCGCCTTAATGACAAAAAACACAGGGGCAGATTATGCTAGTCTTACTTGAGTAGCACCACTGGGGCTACTCAGAATCAACTGCCTAAGGAAGGGTGGCAGAATTTACCCCACTCGGGCTGGAACCGTGGTGCATCAGAGTGTAAGATCCAGACAGTCAAAGGCAAACAGAAAACTTTCCCCAAGCTCACCAAGGCCATCGCCCGCAAGTCCCTCGCTCTCTCTAGGCAGTGCCTGTTGCAGCGTGGAGCTAAAATCTGACCCAGCTGCTGGAACAACTGGGATCCCTTTGGGTCTCCATTTATCACCGAATTCGCTATGCCCAAAAGGCCCCTCCCCCCCCGGGGCGGCAGCCGGGGGGGGGGGGGGGGAGATTTTGGCTTGGTTTCTAAAGTCCACTACTGGCCCCCCCCTCCCCAGCATCTGTGGCAGTGTCCCTGTCCCCCCCTTTGCGGTGGATCTGTGCCCCCCGGATACTCACGTTTATTCTGGCTGCTCGGGACCTGCGGCTGGACTATCTGTTGACTTTGCCTCCGGGTTTTGCCCGTCTTGGGTTGCGAGCTTTGCACCCCTGTCCCCAGGCACAAGGCGAGCAGCAGCAGCAGCGGGTTGCGCGGCATCTTCAAAGGCTGGAGCGGGGAAAAACGGCACTAGGGGGAGAAGCGGGCTGGCGGCTCCTCACTGCAAGCCCCAGGCCAACAACTTTCATGGGGCTCGTCCTTGCACTCCTGCCTGGCTGCGTCTCCTCCTCCGGCCGGCGAGCGAGCGGCAGACGGCTGGCTCCAGGGGGTTTATATAGGCCCCTGCTCCGGGGACCCCCCGGCAGGGCTCGCCCCAGAGAGAGCGGGGGGAGGAGGATCCCCACCGGGACACCCCTTTGCCGCTCTGATTGGCCCAGGCTCCCGGCTGACGTCATGGGGGTGTGCCTCCAGCCGCGGACAAAAGATGCTGCCGGCAGGAGCGGCGGGGACGGGCGAGGGCGCCTCGAACTTCCCCTGTAACTTTGCTACGCCTGTGGCGGGGGCAGGCTCGGGGCCCGGGGCCCGGCTCTCACCTTTGCCGAGCAGAGGGTGCTGAGAAATGAGAGGTGGGGCAGACCTGGAAAGTCAAATCATAGATCCCCCTCCCCAGGGGCCAGTGCGGGGCTATTCCTTCCCTTCGGTGTGTTGAGAGGCTGGGAGTTATCCTGAAAATCAGCCCAAAGGGGAAATCAGTATACACTGAAAGCACCCACATCATTTCTGGCAGCCTTGAAACTGGTTCACAAAAGGCACTAGAAACACCCAAAACCCCTCTCATCCTGTACTCCCTGCAAGCTTATCCACAGGGGAACTGAGACATTAAACATTTAGTACAGCGGTTCTCCAACGCTTGTATTGGTGACCCCTTTCACAGAGCAAGCCTCTGAGTGTGACCCCCCTCATCAATATATCAAAATGTGTTTTTAATTTAACACCATTATACATTCTGGTGGAAAAGGGGGGTTTGATGTGAAGGCTGACAGCTGGCGACCTCACCTGAGGGGTCCCGACCCCCAGTTTGAGAACCCCCGATTTAGTACGAAGGAAACATTGCTCTGCACATCACTAGAAACTAGCAATAAATATAAATAACAAAAAAAATCAAGGGGGAAAAAACAACACGAAATTAGAAATCCTAAGTGTAGTTCTTGATTCCTTATCTAGTCTAGTGTTAATGACTCAAGGCAAAGGTCTTTCGTCACTTCCCTTTGCAATTGTGTTGGCCTTTTAAACCCTTTGTTCACAAGCAAATCTGACAATCCATATTTTGGTGGGTTTTGGGGGGAGGGGAGAGGGGGTTCTAAAATGCTTGCCTATTTTTTTCATCCCATCTTTATTTATCTCTGACCCAAGGGTTGAGATTCACTTTTGACTACTGGACAAGAACTATTTTTATATGGTTTTCTAACATCCAAATTCCAAACCTGGCAGCATTGGAGAGCTATGGGGGGAGCGGGGGAGGAGAGAAACAATAAAGACACATCTTTTAACTCCCTTGAAATAAATGAAACAATGAAAATAAAATTCGCTGGAAAAATAAATATTTTGCTAACAAAAGGGCTGAGCCTCTTAGATAGAAGAGTTTGTCAGAGATGTGAATCTTAACTGCTGAACTTAAGTTTGGTTGCCAGATGTTAGAATTGTTTTAAATTCCCCCAGTCTTCTATATCCTTGTCAGGACCTTGAGGGTCCCTTCTTTTCTTTTGCTTCACAGCCATCCTCCAACCTAAAAATCTTGCTTTGTGGCCACGATTCTCTTCACCAATGGGAACTAGACAGAACTTCACTTGTGCCACTCCTCAAACAGCTGGGGAAATTACTGCAGATCAAATCACTCCATGCCTTCTTCCCCAGAGTGCTTCTTAACAGCCCCTGGTGAGCAAGGTCCAGGAGCCAGCAGTCACACTTGGATCTCCTGCATGGTAGTGGGAAGGTCACATAGCCACCATTGTAATGGTACTTAGTAATTCCTTCTGCTCAGCCATTGCTAACATTGAAAGTTTACTAGTGCTGGGGGCTTGAGCAATGCGGTTTTGTTCTTAAATCCACTTCATCTGCTGGAAGCCCTGGGCAGGAGAACTGTGGGTGTTTTGGGGAGCTGAAAAATCCACACCCCAAAGCCAGAATACAGGGATGCAGTACAACCTCCCTCACCCTACAGCTTGTAGGCTGGAGCACTTGACACTGCCCCATGTGCAGCTGGTGTTGTTGTGATGTGTTTAGGGTCACGGGATCCATGCCAACATGGTTGTGTTAGCCTGCCCCTGACTAGCCACCTTCTCTGATGGCCTACACGAGACCCTCATGTGTGGCCATTCCACTTGCAGCCCAAGTGTGCTGCAAAGATGGTGCTGAGGTTTTTTTTTGCAGTAGCCCATCATGCTATGGATAAATGTCAGCCATGATGATGAGCAAGGCTTCCAATAACAGTTTTGCCATTATTTCTTAATTACCAAGGCCCAGATGCACAAAGATATTTAGATGCCTAACTCCCATTGAAATCAATCGCAGTTAGGTGCCTAAATATCCTTGAGGATCTGGGCCCAAATGCCTTGGGAGCAACTGCTGCATGTCGTGAGCATTCTTAGCAGAGGAATAATTAACTCAACAGGCTGGATTTGTTCCTGATCTATTAGGTCAGTTCATCTGACATGCATGGATGCTAAATGCCACATGCTGCCCTCAGTTCATTTGCTAAATTCCCAGTGAGATTTCTGCAGGAAGATCAAGTGTAATGCAAGGTAGAGGTCAAATTCCATGTACAACAACTCCTTACTGAGTTATCTGTAAAAAGAGCAGGAGTACTTGTGGCACCTTAGAGACTAACAAATTTATTTGAGCATAAGCTTTCATGGGCTAAAACCCACTTCATTGGATGCATGCAGTTTTATTATGCTATTTGCAGGAATGCGTCCAGACCCCAGTCAGAATCAGGGCCCAATTGTACTAACTATGATACTGGAGACAGCATCATTAAGGGATGAGCTTCCCAGACAGAGTGTCTGGGCCAGGGGCTGTGAAGCTCTTGTGGTCATGCACAGCAAGTTGGAACCAGACACAGAATAAAGCAGAGCTCTTGCAAGCACATTAAGCACTGAATGATCACTGAACACCATACTAGGCAATGGATAGACACATCATAAGCTGTTGAGAAACTTTCTGCACTGGGAAATCAGCTCATTTGTAAACCTCCTGACTTTGGCATTTAAAATATATTTGCATTCTTCTGCACAGCAACACTCTACTCAACCATTACCATGATGTCTTACCTGCTTGTAAGTTACAGGAGGCAGAAACTGGACCTGTCAAGCAAGGTAGGTGGGTAAGACGGGGGGAGCTCATCCCTGAAATGGTAACTTGTAATCCATCCCAGTTTTAATGGCTTAGATCTAAACTATTTTGAGTGATTAAGGATATACTTCTACACAGTACACTCGCCAAACTGGTGTAGCCATATCAAGGGATGGGGATTGTCTCCTTTAAGAGGCACAAATCATTATAAACTGGTAAACACCCAATTCTTTTATGCTGCAAACAGGAATTGATTTAAAAAAAAATGTGTCTCCATAGTTGAGACCTTGTTTAATGAATGTCATCCCGGAATGCATTTGTATTGCTGATTTGGAATCCCCTGATGAAAGAGATTATGGGAGAGCATTGCTGGGACATGATGCTAGAGAGTAATGATTATGTTATTATGAAAATGAACTTTTCCTAGACCCATTTGGAAAGGATCATATGGCTGAACTGTCCACAAATCAGAAAACAAATCTGTCCATTTAGGAAATATACATATGTAATGGGATATCACTTGTAGTTATTTGTAGTACAGTAGCACCTGGGGACCCAATCAAGCATCAGGATGCCCTTGTGCTAGGCGCTGTATAGACAGATAACAAAAGACACTTCCGCCAGCTCCACCTAGTTTAAAGTTAGGGTGATTAATCTGGGGAGACTGAAAACATCTCTTTTAAGCAGCTTGGAAGTTTTTAGAAGACTTTCCTCTCCAGGGGGTTGCAATGATGATGGCATCAGCGGTAAGGGTGGTAAAGGAGATGTTTTTAATCACAGAAGATTGCTCTTGCCAAGAACTGCTAATAAATTCACACCAATGGAATGGAGGGTGTGTGCGTGTGATTTCCTGAGTCATTTCAGAGATGTGGGGTCTTAGGGTGCAGAAAGATTAAAATAGCCAGGTGGGAGACTTCTGTTCAAAAGCATAAGAGCTAAGGATGACGGAGGTTCTGAGGATATAAGGACAAGTAGTAGACAGAGGTAGGGGACAACGAACGGGTGTATTGTTATTAACAACTATTTGTATTGTGGTAGAACCTAGGAGCCCTAGTCACAGACCAGGACTCCATGGTGTGAGGAGCTGTATAAAGACAGAACAAGAAGGTAGTCCCGGCCCAGAGAGCGCAATCTCAGTAAAGGACAATCATTTCCATGTGGTAGCACTTACAATGGGCTAGGCACTTTCCAAACACTCAAAAACGACCCCTGCTCCAAGGGGCTCACAATCTCAGGTGGTCCAAGCCATCTAGAATCACCGCCAAGAGCATGTCAGGAGTGGGTACTTAAGATTAGTTTGAAAAATGTGAGTACACTGTACATGGAGGCAAGCCCCTCAGCCACTGTAAATCAGCTTAGACCCCTTGAAGGCAAGAGAGTGATGCTGATTTGCATCAGCCACAGATGTGGCCTGAAACCAACCCAACATCTGAAAACAGAACTGGAAATACAGTGCTAGCAAGTGGGTGTCTTCATGACTAATGCCTTGCCACAATATTACATTTACAAATAGAGAGAAAAATGTACAGTTCTCTCATACAGAACCATCAGCTGGAAGGTCACAGAATGAAACCAACTGCTAATTTGCCATGGTGCTTAAATTAGCTGTTTATTTAGCCATCACATTATTCCCAATCTGGGCTGATATTTAGTCATACATAAGCATCTCATTTCCACAAGGTTCACTCAAGGAAATAGCTCAGCATCATTTGGCTGCCTGTTGTTCCAGAAGCTGCCTCTCCCAAAGGAATCTACCCCATTAATCATAACACAACATGTAGTAATTATAACAATACTGCCTACAGTTAAACTTCAAATTTTCCTCCTGCTCGTTTCATGGAGGTTATGTTCTCTCCTTTGGCTTTCTTCAGGATGCTGCAAGTGCATAGGATTAATTTAGTTGCTG